ACCCTAGGTTAGTCTTTGTAGCTGCTGCTTTTCTGATTAGTGACGAGAGGGCAGAAGTCCTGGTGTTGCCAAGAGCCTGGTGGAGGCACGTGAAAGTCACCAGTAGGGGGCAGCCCAGCTTGCTCCTTAGTCTTCTGGTCCCATCCAGGAGCTCCGGGGCAGGGACCAGAAGGCTTTTAGAAGGTTTGGTTTGGGGCAGTCCAAGGAACCAGGGACTCGAGCCCAAGTGTGTTTGGTCACCTAGTAACTGAGAAGCCCTGGAGTTCATCTTCCCTGTGGTCATTTCTGTTGTGGCTTTCTCTTTCTCTGTCTCTCCCTCTTTCTTCCCCCCCTTTCTCCCGTCCTTCCTTCCTTCCTCCCCTTCCTTCCCTCTTTCTTTCTTTTTTCTTCATACATTTAAAAAATTCCTAGAAGTGTAATGACATAACACTAACTTCACGTGCTTATATTCAGAACTGGTACTTTAATATTTTTGTCTTTTTTGTTACAAAGGCATTTTTCTGTTAAGAAAAGAAATAGTTTAATAGTTTAATAAAATAGTTTTACAGTTTCTGTTTCTTTATCCCTGACCCAAACCCATTCTCCTTTCCCAAGATGACCGTCCTTGCATTCTTCTTTTTATACCTTAAAAATACCCCTCACTATGTAGTATTGTTTTATGTCATTTTATTGTTTTGCTTTAAAAAAATTTTTTATTGGAGTATGGTTGATTTACAGTGTTGTGTTGTTTTCTCCTGTACACCACAGTGAATCTGTTATTCATACACATAGATCCTCTCTTTTTTAGATTCTTTTCTCATATAGGTCATTACAGAGTATTAAGTAAAGTTCTCTGTACTTAATCGTTATCTATTTTATATACAGTAGTGTGTATATGTGGATCCCAGTCTCCCAATTTATCCCTCCACCTCCCTTGCTGTGTCTTTTTAAAAGTTCACATTAACTGTTTTATATTATAAGCACATATCAGTCTGAAATTTTGCTTATTTTTTTTCTCACTTAGCCTGAAGATTTCTTTCTGCTCAAATAGGACGATCTGGTTCAATCCAGCTTATTTAACATACCTCATTTTATTGTTTCTTAATTGATGGACCCTTGGGCTGTTTCCAGCTTTTTATTCTGACTGTATTACAAGTGGATATTCTTGCATATGTTTCCTTATGTGGTTTTCAGGTGAAAACCTCGAATGGAATTGCTGGACTCTATAAAGCTTGTGATGTAGGATTTTCTAGGATACTGGCAAATTACTCTTCAAAGTGGTTGTGTCCCCCGAGCAATGCTCCCCCGAGCAATGTGAGAGAAATAACTGATCCTTAGAAATGCTTTATATAGTCAGATTTTAAACATTGTGTCCAGCTAGCAGGAAAGGAATGGTAAGTCCATGTTATTTTAGTTTGCATTTCAGATTCCTTGAGGGGTGAGCAGCTTTTCATATGTTCCTGGACTGTTGGTGTTCCCCTCTGTGAATTGTTTGTTATTAACTTTACTGGCTTCCAGTCTATGATTCCTCCTTAATGGTACCTAAAGAATGTTTCTTAAGCGGTAGATTTCATGAGCAGTTTCTGGCCTGCAGCTATTTTGTGGGCATCTGTGCAGACGGTAACTTACAACAGGGAATTCTTGGCATCCAGAGGGGCACTTGCTGACTTTTTCATGCAACTCTTCTGTTGATTTTTTTCCATTTTGACCAGGAGGAAAATCCATTCTTTATCCAGGGCATTACTGCCTCCACAGTGGAAGAATATTCTCCAGTGACCACTTTTCATAATTTCACATGGTTTTTTTTGATGGTTTTCAGCAAAATCTTCCATCTTGTCTTAGATTCAAGAAGAGTTATGTGTTGCCTAACATCTGACTTATTTTTCATCTCGTGATCACTGTGAATTTACCATTGAGTAAATGTATCTTTCTTTTCTTCTCTTCCTGGGCATTGGTCACTGGAAAGCTTAGAATTAAGCTTGTGGTCCTTTTCCAGCAAATATTGGGTTGGCCAAAATGTTCATTTGGTTTTTCCATTAGCTCGTATAGAAAAACCCCAATGAACTTTTTGGCTAACCCAAAATATGCATTTTAAGCCCAATTCCTAGCTTCACTGATATCTCTGCCCTGGCTTTTCTTTCTTCAGTGCTTTTCGTTTTGATGTTTAGCTTATTGTATGTTATTGAATACAAGTGGGGAGTTTATAAATTGAAAATCTGATGAAAATGAAATAACAATAAAATAAAGGGCATAAATAATTACCGGAAAAGTTAAACATAAATGCTTTGTGCCACAGACATTGATTAAATACGTCCTGAGTGTCAAGCCCTGATGCTGTCGGTGATGAGGCAGGCAGAGAGCTGAAGAATCTGAGGATTTGAGAACAGTGACAGCCACCGTGTTAGCTCAGCTGTGAGGAGGGAGCAAGTTCTCTGGAATCCTGGTTGTGACCCCAAAGGAAACCTTGCCTACATTCTTTGTCCTTTTCTTCTGCCAAATGCATGAAAAAAGTATTAAAATGTGGGGCTCTCTGGAATGTGGTTTTTTATTGGGAAGTGACTTAGAACAGGGAGGTTACTATGGTTTTTACTGGAAAATGTTAGTGGATTGAAAATCTTGGGGGAAAAAATATCTAAAGTGTGGTAATTTTGAAATATCTCATAAAAACTCATAATGTTAAAATTTGTTGTTTGGTAATTAGGGTGGAGTCTGAAAATGTTTCTTTCTGTGTGAAGTAGAAGCAAAGGGAGCGAATCCTTCCTGCAAGTCTATGTTCTAGGCCCCGGGTATCGGGGAAAGCCAAGCTCTTTGAGTAGAAGATGCTCCCCTTTTTTGGACGTTGCCTGATGTTGCTTTCGTATGTAACAGGAGACAGAGTTTATGTGGGTCCTTTTAAAATCATTTCTCTTTTGTGTGATTTGGTTCTCTCAGAACCTTTTAATTTTATTTCTAAAGTTTGTTTCTAAAAATAAGTGTTTTATTTTATTTCTAACATTTATCTTCTAAAAATGGGTGTCCCAGTAGTTGCCATGTATTTTGATATCTTTTTTCGGTTTTGGATTGAGCAGAAGGGACCCATAGATGCTATATCTTTTCCCTCATTGGCTATTATTTTTCTCATTTAATTAATGTTAACAGTAGGGTTACATATTTGTTTTCAGTGTCTTTATTGGGATGCTATATACCTTAAATACTTTGGAAAAGAAAGAAAAATCCATTCTAATACAACTTCCTGGATTGTCTATGGAGCTCCAAGTGTTGCCCATTCATTCTTCTATCCATCCATCCATTTGTCCATCCTTCATCCTTGAAGACCTACTTTGTACACGGTGCTTTGTTAGATGCTATGGTGCATGTTGTGGCGGTGGTTTACTTGCTCAGTCGTGTCCAACTCTTGTGACCCCATGGACTGTAGCCTGCCAGGCTTCTCTGTCCATAGGATTCTCCAGGCAAGAATACTGGAGTGGGTTGCCATTTCCTTCTCCAGGGGATCTTCCCAACCCAGGAATTGAACCTGGGTCTCCTGCGTTGCAGGCAGATTCTTTACTGACTGAGCTACAAGGGAAGCCCCATGGTACATGTTAAGAATTATAAAACAGGATCCATCTATCTTCAGAAAGAGGTCATGATCTAAGAAAAGTGAATAGACAAATGCTGAGATAACTTCAGCACAGGGCAATTCCATGGTAATAGGTTTGATAGCTTTGTGTTTATATTACCAGTGACTTTACTGGTTGCAAGTGACAGAAATTTCAGATCAAACTTTCGTTAGTGAAAACTAACCTCAGGGACAAGTGGATCCAAAGGCTTTAAGTGGCATTTTCAGAGTTCTCCCTCTCTTTTTATCTCTTAGCTCTCTTCCCTCTTGTGTGCTGATTTCCTTCTTGAACATTACCTTTCCCTGTGTAGAAATATTTCTCATGGAATCCCCAAGCCTGTGTAATCTTTCAGCTAAGATCCCAGAGAAAGAGAAAGGCATGCTCACAGCATTCATCTTTTGGTTTTAGGGAAGCTTCTCATTAGTCTCGTCAAGGTTAGAGCACATTTCTAAGCCAGTCATCATGGCCAGGGGGATGGAGCTCTCTGTGCAACCAGCATTACCTGTCTACTCCTGTATTTGAAGGGCTGGCAGATGGGGAAGAGGTTTCTACAGAGAATGAGTGCGTGCCTGCATGCATATGTGCTAAGTCACTTCAGTCGTGTCTGACTCTTTGTGACCCCATGGACTGTAGCCTGCCAGGCTCCTCTGTCCATGAGACTCTCCAGGCAAGAATACTGGAGTGGGTTCCCATGCCCTCCTCCTGGGGAATCTTCCTAACTCAGGGATCAAAGCCACATCTCTTAAGTCTCCTGCTTTGGCAGGCAGGCTCTTTACCACTAGCATCATGTGGGAAGCCCCTTTACAGACAGTACATGAGGGCAATATGTAGGGTTTGTGAAATGTGGCTCCTGAAAGGAAAATTTCATTTCATTACTGACAAAAGCAGAAAGAGTGGATCCTGGGCCAGGAAAAGAGAGGGTTGGGAAGAAGGGATGAAGGGAGAGAAAGGGGGAGGGGAATCTGCTTCAGTGTTTCCAGAGGTAAAAGGAAGGAGGGACTGCTACTCTTGGAAGGTGAGAGCAGATGTGACTTGTCCTGTGTGGTGATTTCAGCATCCCTGTGGCTGTCACAGATTGAAATGCTTTTGAGAGGTAGTGGATGCATTTGTAAGTTATTTTCACCTCTGTATCCAGGGGATACCTTGAGTGGGGAGGCAAACTGAACTTGTTAGTTGAAAGAGTGATAAAAATTTAATAAGAAACCTGATGGTCCTGTCATTTTGAATATGAAACCTGCTCCATGGTTTCTCCATGATCACACTCGGGATTCCTCCCCTTGCTGTATTTAAAGTAAATGGTGGGGCCAGGTGGGTGAGGAGGGATCACCTTGAGCAGTCTGATGAGGTTGGATGGAAGTTACCTAATTTTTATGGATTGCCTGCATTGAGTCTTGAGTTTGCACCCTTTTTTTTTTTTTGCAGTTACATTGCAAATCAGAAAAGATTAGAAATCATCAACGAAGATGATCTTGAAGCTTATGTGGGACTGAAAAACCTGTGAGTACTCAGAACTTGCATACCTTATGTCAGAACTTTTTTATGCTCTGTAATAGTCAGAGGGACGGGTGTTCATTAGTTCTAACATTCACACCATTGTGTACATTCTTAGGACCATTGTGGATTCTGGATTAAAGTCTGTGGCTCATAAAGCATTCCTGAAAAACAGCAACTTACAGCACATGTAAGTAAAGCTTGGTTCTTTTGATTCCCAGGACCCAATTTATTCAGTGTTTTCCCCCTCTGTTTATTTTCCTCCTTTCCCAGCTAGAAATCTCCTTTTTAAAAGTTAGTATAGCTTCGACAATAGCTTAGAAACATTAGCTTTGATTTCTGAATAGCTTCAGAGGGGTACTTAGAACAGCCTACTTATTCCCTTTCATGAATTTCTGGGCCATTTCCATCTTGGACGGAGCAATAGGCCAACAGAAAGGAGTCTGATGTGAAAACTATGTCCTGCGCGGCGTTCTCGATTCTTTTCCTTGGACGCATGACATGTTCCCTGGAAGACATCAAACTAGTGGAATTGAAAGAAACTGACTTGGCCTTGGCCTTCACAGGGAACTAAAAATTGCTCATGCACTTTCTCCTACAGTAGGTCCTCTTTTGAACCTTCATTTTCTAAAAGCTATCTGCTGTGATTGATAAAAGTGGAGAAAAATCAATCATGAAACTTGCCAGAGGTTCAGACAATTGTAACAATAGCAAAGGCTTCCACTGAAGTCAGGGTGATACCAACTGACGTCAAATGGAAATATAGACAGTGGGAGCGCTTAGGTTGTTTACTGTTAAATCCTCTTAGACATGGCACTTAGTCAATAAGGTGTGGCCTTCCTAAGATGTTTCTTCATGAAGCAGAGGATTACCCATCCTGGAGCTCTGATTGTCACCCCCCACACCCCAAGTTTTCAGTAGGAATTTCTGTGGGAGGATGGTTGCCTGCATTCACTGGCTCTCCTATGCTTTGCAGGTTCTCTGCAACAACACCTTATGTTTTTCATAGTCTACAGTCTTCCTGCAGAATTCTTACCTGCTTGATCTCACTTGATTTTTCTAACAGTTGGTAGGAAGGATCTTTCTGATTCCCATTTCATAAATGTATTAATAAAATCAGGTCTCCAGATGGAAAGTGGCAGAATTTTGATGCAGGGCTCAGCTTGGCTATGTTCTTTTAGTAATAATACAGAAAATAAAATGTGTTTTGCATATAATGAGAGAATCATCCCTTGTAACATTTATCCTCTTTCTTTGTCTTGGGTACAACAGTTCCCTGACTGTTATTCAGGCCAGTCTATAAAAGAAAACATTCTCTTTGAGTAGATTGCTTGGACACTCCATGGTGATTTGTTGATCTTAGGAAAAACCTTAATTTCATCAAGCTAGTACAATGGCTTTATATTTCATAGGTGGCATTAATGATGAAGTCAATTTGAAAATAAAGTCTGTAGAATTAAAATGCAAAACTTTTGGAGAAAGGTGATAAAACTCCAAGGAACTTTATTAACACATTTCATTTAGAGGCTTTTTGGCAGCATCTCTGTAGTTGGTTTGCCTGCACAAATTCTGGTGTCTTTACGTAGGCCTTGATAACGTAAACAAGAGAGAAGCTGGACACAAGAAAAAGGTGAAATGCTCTAATGCAATCACTTAAGTGTAATTAATGACCTTGGTGGTTACGTACTGGTATTTTCATTACTGCTGACTATAGACCTGAATTACTCAATGACTGCATTTGACTGGCTGTTTTACTACATCACTTCCCCTGATTTTATGATCTATATAGTGGGTTATGGTTAATTATGGTTTTACAAATAGATTTATTTATGACTCTACTGTGCCTCTTCTATTTTCCCTACTTTCCTTGCTCTAAGATATTTATATGAAAACCAAACCCACCTTTTGTAATTTTTTTTAGGCTGATATATGGTAGAATAATTTTAATAGCATTCTCTGGGCTGTACTTACTTATTTAAAGTCAATTATTTGTTCAAGTCCCCCAAAGAGGTGCCATTTGAAAATAAGAAACCAAGGAGATGGACATAATATAGTTTTTTAAAAGCCAACAATTGGGAAGTCTAATTATCGATCAAACTACAAATGTTATTGATATTTGTGGCAATTGTCAAATGGTAAGACAGCACGAAGTCAGGCTGATATTCAGACAGAAGTCAGAGTGTCAGTAAGCTTCAGAAAGTCACATGACAGAAGAGGCTTCTAATGGCCAAAATAGAAATTCATTTCAGCAGTTGGCTTTAGGAAGTGGCAGGGAGGAAGGGGTTCATTCAGGTGTCTGTCTTTCGAGACCTGGGTCTCAACCTCTTCCTATGACTTGAGAACTCGGGGGCCTGGTGTTCTTGATTTCCTGAGCAGCATCCTTAGTTGACTCTCAGCACCATAACTGTAAGGGAGCTGATAAAGATCTGTGTACGAAAGGCTATTTCTCTCTACCCCTGGGATATACTGATTATCTCTCTCAGTTTTCCCAACAAAATAAAAATATTCACAAGAGCATCTGTTTCACTTTGGGCTTTAGGGACATTCAGATTGGATCCTGTCTGTTACTTTCATCATTCCTCTCCTACACTGTGCTTATTTAGTACCCCACGCTGACTGTCCAGAGCCCCCTAGGACTGATCCCTGAGTTTATTTCTAGGTGCCTTTAATTTCTGCCCAGTCCCTGAGAACTTAGAAACTGTGAGAAAAACCAGTATTTGTGTTTTCCAGGGGCTTTGCAGAGGTGCTAATTAGCTCCTTTGCAAAAGTTCTATAATCAAACAGTAAGAGGATTGTTGATTTTGTTTCCTCCCCTCCTCCTTCCTTTTGGCTTTTGGCCCCAATAATAAGTATGGTTCATAAAACTCATCTTGTTCCCGGCTCTGGGCTGTGCTGCTAGCAACTTGACAGGGCAGCTGCCACTGTGCTGGCTTGCTAGTTGACCTGGAACTGTGACAATGAGTATGTCCTCTTTCTTTGCATCCTCACTCCTCATTCTTCTTGGGAGGAAAATAAGGGTGTTGTTTTTTTTTTTTCCTTCAGAAGAATGGGGATTTGGGATGAAGATGAAAACATGTGTGCCTCACAGGCTGTGGTGAAGACACACAGAGCAACTTGTCAATGTATTATACTCTAGTGAAACCCGTTTGTAATTCACGTTCTAAAAGAAAAGACTTATGTGGGCACATTTTACAACTTTCCTCTGAATTATTTTCTCATGTGGGTGAGCACTTTATACTCAGTGTGAAGAGAGAAGATGCCAGCATAGAAGAAAGAGGGCATCTTGGTGTGGATGAAGTTTGAATGAGAGGAAATCTCAATACAGAATTAAGCTGGAAGTGACCACGTGCCTTCTTGAATTATGAGCTGCCAAAGTGGCATTTTCTTTATCCATCCACTGACTAGTATTAGTTCATATATTAGCTCCTCCTGATCCTTAACTTCTCTCTGCAGGAGACTGGCCAGACATACCAGGAGACTCTGACCCATGGTTTTGTGGGATGGACACGACACGCTAGCGTCAGGGCGGCCAAGATTGCTCCCCCTTAGCTCTCCCGTATTTACCTGACTCAGCCCAGTGCTCACTTTGCTTAACTGGAATCATGCACTGAAAGGCTCATCACAAATTGTTGAAGGCTCAGCTGTTTTGTAAAAGCTAATATTTGTTTTACATTCATGTTACTTATTTAAACACTTGTCTAGAGGCCCAAGCCTTGCACCCTTTTAAAATAAATTCAACCAGTAAACAAATTCACAGGAGTCAGCTGCCAGTATTAGTGCTTTGAATTTCCCAGCTCAAGGTCTCATGGCACTGAACACTGGAAACTGAAACTCCTGTTTCATTAAATGAAGCTATTAATATATATTTGAAACATGTCAGTAAATTTGTTAGTATTTCTCATTTGCAAATAGGACATGTTTTCATTATCTGGATGGTCCAAATCTAACGATATGTTGCTAGATTATTTGTTCTGGACAAAATCTGAGATATTATTTGTTTATCTGGTATTTTATTTTTATTGTTCTCATTGTGAAATTGTTTGGTTATTTGGAAGTTATTTAGAAGCAAGCACATAGAGTTAATCAATAGGTATTATCTTTTTTATTAGGATGTGTTAAATTCAGTTAATATTCAAAATTTTGTGTGTCATGTTAATATTTCAGAATATTCATGATGCTCTTTATTTTTGAAGTATCTTTTCATCTAGTGAGTTTTGCTTTAAATTTAATTTAGTTTAATCCTCCTATTAATTTTTCAGAAGGTCAAATATCTCTAGGAGTTATATAACTTGGCTCGGAATATGGAAAAGAAACTTTTGGGTAAAAAAGAGATTTAAAATAGACATTATGAAAATTATAACTCCCCCACCCCAACCCCACTTTCAAGTGAGAATTATAGCAGAGGCAGGAAAAACTAAGCTATCACTCAAGGTGAAAGAAAGAGATTACTGGATCTAAGTAAGGCAGGAACCATGATCAAATAAAATTATGTTTTGAAAAAAATTCTAAATACTTTATTCCTGAAATGTATGCTTGTAATTCACATTTGATGTTTTTGATTCCTTTCAGCAATTTTACCCGAAATAAACTGACGATTTTGTCTAGGAAACATTTTCGTCACCTTGACTTGTCTGAGCTGTAAGTAATAATTTTGTATGGCATTTGGGGAAAATAATTTCAAAAGGAAGTGTAATTAAGTATTTTTAAAAATAAGTGATGCTGAAGATCTATTTTTATATCAAAATTTGAAAATGAGTTGAAAAATGATTTCTTAATTGTGGGCTAACTTTTTTTTATTCCTTCACGAGAGTATGATTCAGCAGTAAAAAAAATAGAAATCTCAATAGTAATATATCATTTCTGATGAGTTTAAATGTTGTTTTTACACAGAGGACTTGTTTTCTAAAGGAGAGGAAAAGACAAGGGTTTTGTGTGAAAAATATGGCTACACATCTCATAGCATTGGTTAGGTTTTTGTTCTGTTCAGGCCTTAATGGAGAGCAAATGCATTCAAGGAGGAAGTATTAATACTGGTGGGCAAAACCAGCAGGCACTGTTGGTTTATGCTCCAAATGACAATGCCCATTGGCCCTTAGTAATACTGGAGTAGAGACACACTCTCTCTACCCACCTATCTTTGTGAGATTTCCTACAGGGTCGGTCACTGCATTCAGAATTTATCCTCATGCCTAAATCCCCTTTAGGAAAAACATTGAAATTTATAGATCTTTGATAGCCAGCATTTCCAAGTGTACTGAGTTCTTATTCATTTATTTATTTGGCTTTGCCAGTTCTTTTAGTTGGGATCTTTTATTTCTGGCATGTAGGATGTAGTTCCCTGATGAGGGATTGAACCTGGGCATTGGGAGCTCAGAGTCTTAGCCACTGGAACACCAGGGGAGTTCTCTTAATTCTTGTGCTGTCACTGTGATGCAAGTATAAACTGTTGACATTCCCCCCCAAAGAACCCTAAGGCACAGGATGTGTGTGTCAGAAGTGAGTAAAGGTGGACCAGGTCTTTGAATACTAGGCAATAACTTTTTCTTAACCTATATGTGGCCTGGGATGTAGGGTCCACCTGTATTCACAAAGAAGTTGTGCAGATTAGAAGATGCCACTAGTAGAGCAATACCAAGTTAATGAGTTAGGTAATAGTGAGAGTTGCATGGTGGCAACTTTTTTGGAATGAACATAATTCAGAAAGTGGCAACACTGGTTTTCTAACCCACCAAGAGTTTAGTTTAGGATTAACTGAGGCTTCTGTTGGCCTATTTTAGCAATGAAGCCTGTGCATGCGTGCTCTGTTGTGTCCAGCTCTTTACATCCCCATAGACTCTAGCCCACCAGGCTTCCCTGTCTCTGGAATTCTCCAGGCAAGAATACTTTAGTGGGTTGCTGTTCCCTTCTCCAGGGGATCTTCCCAACTGAGGGATTTATCTTGTGATTCCTGCTTTGCAGGTGGATTCTTTACTATCTGAGCCATTTGAGTTAAGTTTCTAACTTAGGGATGGGCATACGAAACTTAAGGAAGATATGTGAAATAGAATAAGCTATTCAGTATAAAAATTTTGAGCATCACTGCACAGACTTTTCGTGATGGGTTAAAAGTTGGATTCTGGTTTCATTCTCACATGTCTCAATATTCTCTCTGTAGCATATTTGATCAATTCACTCAACAAATGTTAACTGTGTGCCTGTTACAAATAAAATTAACATAATGTTAGGTCATGGGGATATAAGGAGAAAGGTTTATGCATTCCAGGACTCTGCTATCCAGTGGAAGAGGTAGAAGCCTAAACAAATTAAGTGTAACCTGCTGTAACCATCACTGCAAAAGAAGCCTGCTCAGTGTGTGAGAGGAAGAAGCCAGTTGTCTGCCTGTGCTGTATGGTTGGATGAACACTGGTGTATTTATAATTGAAGATCCCTTTGCTTCTTTATTCCTTCTTAGTTTTCCATGGATTCAGAACACCAGGAAACAGCTTAGTTGGGGTTTAAACATTGTGGATTTCAACTGCATATTCCACACCTAGTAGTGTCAACTCTTATTTTGGTTTTGGAGGGATGATTGGAGGCCATCAAGCCAACACAAATTAAATGAGTATGCCTTGACCACATTTTCCCCAAAGAAACTCCTGGAAAAGTCTCCAGGGATTCCCTGAGATTCTTAGAACCCAACCAGAAAACCACAGGAGTAAATGATGTTGCAAAGCCCAGGTCCTGTCCTCAAGGAAATCTCAAGTATTGTGGTTAATGCCAGGCAGAGCCTACATAATGATTTTAAATGGCCTCATTTAGAGGCTCATTTCCATAAATGGAAGTCATCTTAAATAGGCCACTGAGTATTATAAAAAAGCATTTAAAGATTTTTTTCTTGTGGTTTTTATTTTCCTCTTGACTACTTCCTCCTTTACCAATCACAGGCCACAGGAGTCCAAGGCGGCATGGCTGAATGGTGGCTTTCTCTGTGAACACCCTCTGACAAGGGGCTAAGTAGTTCAGCCTGTGGCTCCGTAGCCCTTGCTTTCAGGAAACCTGAGCTTGGGACGTGCGCATGCATGTGTGTGTATGTGTCTGTGTGTTTTTCTGTCTGTGTGTGTGTATGTGTGTGTGAGAGAGAGAGAAAGAAAGAGAGAGAGAGAGAGAGAGAGAGAGAGAGATGTCTGAGAGCTTCCTTCCAGGTTCTATCAGTCACATTCACTCCAGTTTGACTTTCTTGCACCAAACTGGACTGTGATTGTGTCATTGTATACCCTCCTGGCACTCATACTTTTGTCTTGTATTCATAATCTCATTTTTAATTCAGATAAAATTGCTCTGCCCTCCACTGAAGTTTGAACTTATTAAGTGGTAATACGTGAAACTCTAGCCTGGTTAGAAGTCAGTATGTTGGTGTTCCTGAAAACATGATGTTGGCTTCTTCCCTTAAGATCTTCGTAACAGTGTAATAACTCTGACAAATTTGTCATGGCATCTTATTTTTCTCCATCTTATGAGACATTGTTTTCTGTACTATGCTATAGTTATTTCTGTTCCTATCTTGTTTCCCTATGGGTCTGAAAGGTCTTACATCACTCTGCATCCTTTAGCCTCTATGGGGGTGTTTACACATAGCAGAAGATCAGTGTTCAATTAATGAGTGAATAATAAGTAGTTATACTATAAAGATGGGTGTGTCTTCCACAGATTGCCAGCTGGAAGGCATTCATAATGTTATTAGTGCTTTGTCAAACACTTCTATAGCTAAAACCGAGAAAGAGAAGGCTGATTGGATTTCATTTTTGTTCCATGTAGGATCCTGGTGGGCAACCCATTTACATGCTCCTGTGACATTATGTGGATCAAGACTCTTCAGGAGACTAGACCTAGTCCAGAAACTCAGGATTTGTACTGTCTGGATGAAAACAGCAAGAATATTTCGCTGGCAAACCTGCAGATACCCCATTGTGGTAATATACCTTTAAATCAATGAGTTCTATTTGCTATTAATTATCTAATTGCCATTGTGTGATAGAGAGACTGTGAAGGTTACTATTACCCAGATTTTGTATACATGCTGTGGATGTCTCAACTGGGTTGGGACACTTTTGTGTGCAGTAGCTGAGAGCAACTTGGCTGAACATTCTTTGCAACTAGAATATTAATGCTCAGTGGATGATTTTAAGCATGCAGAAAAAGTGTACACTGTTTATTCCTTTGTTTCTTTGTTCATTTTTCTGTCCATCCATCCGTTCACCCAAAAAGTATCTGCTGAGAGTGTGGTACTTCACTAGCCATATATATTTGGTTGGCACCCAGGCTCTGTAGAGCAGGGGTCCCCCACCCTTGGGACTGTGGACCGCCCAATTAGAAACCAGACTGCACTGCAGGAGGTGGACAGTGGGAGAGTGGTCAGTGCTCCATTTGCTGCTCCCCATCATTCTGGCATTACTGCCAGAACCCCCCCGCCCCGCTCACCACAACCTCACTCTGTGGAGTGATCCCTGGTACCAAAAGTGTTGGCTACTGCTGATGTCGAGGAAGGATCCCAGGGGATAATGTGTCCTGGCAGCGTGAGAACATATGAGTCAATACGGAACATGCCCTTAAACTTATCTTGCTGGCAGATTTCAGTGTTTCTTGGTGGGGCGCCACAGATGTGCCCTTAAATGTGCTTTCTCCATTGTCTGGGTTTGCAGTCTCCTTTAGTCTTGTCCCCCATTTCTCTCCCCAGCATTTCTACTTCCAGAATTTAAAAGGGCACCATATCGTAAAATTATAGCTCTGTGAGTGCCAGTGTGTTTACAAGAAAGGAAAATCCAAGGGTTCTGGTTAGGATTTTACTGCTGAGGGCTCTTAGGACATACCTCTGCAGTCCCCACATATGCATATTATTCCTCTGTTGAAGTTTTAATCAGTCAACCAGTTAATCAGTTCACAATTAAATGTGATATTCTGGCCCAGTGGCTGGTGACACAGCAGACTGTCATGTAGCACCTGGTTCTTGTCCGAGGGGAATCTGTGTATTAACCATAAATTTTCAAGTCTTCATTTTCAGAGGGGTCTATTGTTTGGAGTCAATTTTTATTTAAGGAAAATATAGCTGCTGCTCACTTTTAATGAAAATGTAATAAAGGAATGATAAACATTTGTTTCTTCCCCCGAGGAGTCTTAGAAGTCAGCAGTCACTCTTTCCCCAGATTTTTGTTGTACCGAGGGCCCTTTGATTTCACAATAGGGAATAAAGCTTTGTCCCTTGTCAACTTCTCTCAGCTTTCTTTATGAGCCAATACTTTAAAAAAAAAAAGCTTTTAATATCTATCTTTTCCTGATAACTGTTCTCTATTCTGGTATAAATTTATACCACCGAGAGAAATCTCCTAGAGGGACAAGAAATTGAATGTTGAGTCACCTGGCCTCTTGGCTAGCTCCCAAGTCCCCGTGGCTATTGTGGCCACACTGTTTCAGCAGCCCCTGAGAGGGCAAAAGGGAAAGCATCTGACCCCTGCTCTGATTTCACGAGAGGCTCTTAATAGACGTCTGCTTTGCCCTTGCCTGAAACCAATTCAATTTTCTTAATTTTAACTTTTGACCATATTGTCTTGAGAACATTCCTGTAATACACCCAGCCTAATGTGTTGTTGATAGACCATTGTGATTAGGGTAGGGGAGGGATAGGAGTGAACTGGTTCTAATGTTTCCTGACCAATTTGCCAATTTTTAATGTTTCTGAATTTGTTTCCTACAAATTAGTCAATGAACTCTGTGTACAAGAGGGAGGCCTTGAATCCACTGTCAGAGGGCGTGTGTTTGGTTGATTGATTAGGACTGATTGATTACTTTTATGGTAATATTCACAATTAATTTCAATGTCAACAATGCTTTTCATAAAGCAACATTAGAAAAGATGAACTGATAGACTTTTTTGTATGTGTTCTTAAGCTGTTATGTTCTTTCTCTGCTGATTTTTACTTTCTTTCCAAAGGTTTTTTTTCTTATAATTGCACAGATACTATTAATATAAATTTTTGCAAAAATAATTTCCCACATTTACATATTAAACTTGTCTTTTGCTTGTTTGTGATCATTCAGATCAGCACCATAGATCTATCATATCTTTTTAACCCTTGTGTGCTATTCATGGTAAAATATATCTTGATTATGCTAAATTTTCCATATTGATGGGTATTTCCCATTTTATTACAAAAGTATTTCAACAAGTATCTTTATACATAATCTTTGTACATACATACAGAGGCAAAGGCTTTTCTAGAGTACATAGTAGGAAACAGAATTTTTGGTTAATATGGTTTGTACATTGAAAAGTGATTGTACCAATTTATAGCCACCCTAGCAAAGTGTACCTTATAGAAAGCTTCTTATTTTTTGTATCTCTAAAAAAATGGTATGTCATTACTTTTTAGTTTGCATTTTCCTGATTGCTATTGAGTATCTTCTGTTTTTGGACATTGCAATTATTCTTCATTGAATTGCCTACTTATATCGTGCCCATTTTTCTATAATATTACTCCTTTTCTTTCCTTTTTCTTTCACTGATACTTTCACTGTTTTTTCTTAATTGTTTGAAAGTTATAAATTCTTTATGTATAAACTATATAAGGCCAAAATATTTATCATACATACTTAAACATATTTTCTGTAAATATCCAGAAAGAATACCCAACAAGATGAGAAAAGATACTTTTTCTTCCCTGTACTTTCACCTCCCTTCTCTCAGATTGTTATTATGTGGGATTTTATTTTTAGATTGCTACTTGATGTTTTTGAGGATTTACTATTTCTTTGTATGTCCTGGAATTTTGTATTCCACTACTTCCTCTTTGAGTGGTTTTTCTTTTTGCTGGAGTGTGTCTTCTAATATTTCTTTCAGAGAAATTAAAAAAAAATAAATAAAATCTTCATGTTCTTGCCCAGTGGAAAATCAGCCTGTATTTTTTCTTCTCATTGGAATTCACTGAGTGTAAAATTCTAGACTCAAGATAACTTCCTCAGGTTTTTGCAGATATCACCACATTTTCTCCGTGTTCAGTATTGCTGATGAGAAGCCCAAGGCCAGCCTGATGCTTCTTTCTTGATCGGTAGCCCATGCTTTTCTTTTTTCTCTAGAATCTTCTAGGATTTTCTCCTTATCCTCGTTATTCTTAAATGTTACTACAGTGTAACTAGGCATGTGTGTGTGTGTATTTAAAATTTTATTTTGTTTGACATTCAGTGTACTTTTTCAGTGTGAGTATTCACATCTTCAGTCCTGGAAGAATTTTCTAATTTATTTAGATGGTTATTTACACTGCTGGCTCCTCTCTCCTTACCTCTCACTCTTTCTATAATACTTTCCATCTGCCGGTTCTTATGTGCTGCATAATGGAGGCCTGTTTACTCACTACTTTGCCCTTTAGCTATTGAATTTTTCCTTCTGCCAATCAATTTTTAATTTCTGAAATCGCTAGTGATGCTTTTTTTTTTTTATGATTGAAACACCCTTTTCCATACAGTGTTTCATCTTATCTCTCAGGTATCCTCAGTACCTAGCATGACTGATTTTCTCCTGTAAACTTCCCGTACTCATCGCTTGTACCTGGGGGCAGCAGCAGCAATTGTTGGATGCCATGCCTGAGGTGGGAGGGCCAGGGTAGGGTGAGGAAAGCTTATTCCTCTTGTCACTCCTGCTTGTTTTCTTAACCAGTGACTTGGTGGAGGGGAGGCCCCACTGTGCCCTACAGTCTCAGGTCAGCACTGCAGCCTCCCTGTTTCGTTGCAGTACATGCTCTTGTGTCTATTTGGAACTGTGCTGTTTTTCTTTAATTTCATTTCCCTACTTTCTTTTGTTCAGCAGTTTCTCATAGTTCTTATACAGCGATAATATGGCTTCTCATTTTCCAATGTGGTTGTGTATTTAAAAAAAAAATTGATGTAATTTCTAGAGATTTGAGATGAGAGGGAGAGGATTTAGTCTGGGGCTTAGTCACACATTAATTTTCCTAACAACAGTTTCCCAACTTCGGTTCTTTAGGGGCTTAGTCACACATTAATTTTCCTAACAACAGTTTCCCAACTTTGGTTCTTTAGGAGAAGTTAGATTGAGCATCAAATAGATTGTTGGATTTAAATTCTGTTTCTGAAATTCCATGTTGGATAAGTTGGATAATATCCTCAAATCTTCAAGTCTTATTTAAAACATGGATTAATGGTCAGTTGGCTTTTCTTTTAGGTCTCACCCTCAGCAAACTTTTAAAACATATCTATATATCTATTGTGTTTAAGTCACAGATTGATGGAGTTTATCTTATTGCCACTTTTTTTTCTTTTTTGATGAAACTTGTTAGCTAACTCTAAGAGTAACTCATAGAAGTATGGGCTTATGTATTTCATCATTGTAAACCCAACAATTTGCCAGTAACTATGGCCATTGCATTTGGTTTGCAACTGGTAATATTTTAATTTCAATAAAAAAGAGCTACTTGGATTTTTTTTCTTTATAAGGTGGGCTTTCTTTAAAAACTTCCCCTTTTAGTATTGTGTTGTGCAAGCGTTGAGGAGAATGGAAAAGTTGGCTTAAAGCTCAACATTCAGAAAGCTAAGATCATGGCATCCAGTTCCATCACTTCATGGGAAATAGATGGGAAAACAGTGGAAACAGTGGATGACTTTATTTTTGGGGGCTCCAAAATCACGGCAGATGGTGACTGTAGCCATGAAATTAAAAGATGTATACTCCTTGGAAGGAAAGTTATGACCAACTTAGACAGCATATTAAAAAACAGAGATATTACTTTGTCAACAAAGGTCCATCTCATCAAGGCTATGGTTTTTCCAGTGGTCATGTATGGATGTAAGAGTTGGACTATAAAGAAAGCTGAGCACCAAAGAATTGATGCTTCTGAACTGTGATGTTGGAGAAGACTCTTGAGAGTCCCTTGGACTGCAAGGAGATCCAACCAGCCCATCCTAA